GGTTGAGCAGGAAAATCCCTTCAAAATTGAGAAAACAAATCGACCACGATAAATTCAAACAATTTTACTTTGTTATGGTGCCAAATAGTAAACTAAACAAAACTAAATGTAGAGATGAAATTAGTAGGAATGAAGAATATACAGTAATGGATTTTAATACAATTCAGAGGTCAAATAGTGAAATGATGTCAAGTAAAATTATTGAATCTTTGTTTCATTTTCATGTTTCAGAGAAAACTGATACAGAAAATGAAACGAATGGAATGAAGGTTTCTAATAGCGAAGGTAGTGTTTTGAATACCATTGTTCATCCAAAGGAAAGTACGGACAGTAATAATGGTTGTAGATATAATTTCCAATCAATGTGTTTCCCACATTCAATTTTGACTAATCAGCAATCTGAAACAAGATCAGAATCATCATCATTACTAAATTCAAAATTAATGCTCTCCTTAGATTATGAAGGAATTGTTGAACTATTAACTGATGAACAATCTCCATATTATCAAATGTTGAAAAAACCAATATTTTGGTAATAAATGTTTAACCGAAATGTACAAAATAGAATTTCTTAATAACGTTTGTTGGCCAACAGTTGAAAGTTGTGAAATCTCTTTCCATAACACTATGGTATCTCAAGCCTAAATAGACCTGCCAAGTAATCATTTATTTCATGATTTTCGTAAAGATACCTCTTGGCAATTTGAGAAGAACTTGATATACAATCATGATTGCTCTCTTTTGTTGAGGAGATAATAATGCCTTGTTCAGTATCCAAGTCCATTTTGATTTCATGAATTTCTGTAACAAATCGCACTGACCAATAAAATAACTATTCTGCGGATTTGACAAGTTGAAACTGGAATAGTAAATATTAAAGTGGTAGAACTCATCACCAACTCTCTATTCAGATACAGTATTTCAAAAAAAAAACAAGTCAATTGTTCAGTTGCTGAAATGTTGATGTTACCCTCTCCATTTAATATTCATTGTGGAATAGTCTCTCCATCATCAATGTCATCCTCCTCCTCTTCTATCAATACCAGTAACAATGAATTGCCAAGTTTAAATCTTGATATTGTTGATTTTATGCAGAGTTGGAAAATATTACAGACTATCAAACAAGTTCATCACCAACAAGATGACAGCTTTGTTTTTCATTCAGATGAACTAGTGAAAGATCAACAATTAATTAGTTCCTCATTAGTAGTATTAAACAATTCTGATCACAATGAGGCACTAGAAACGTTTCAACTTCCAACAATATTCACCACCACCAAGAATGAAAATACTACCATGCCCAATATCTCATCAATCTCAAAGAAGAGAAAGATTTCCTCTTCTTCATTCAAATATTATACAAGTCCAAATACAGAAAAGAAAATCTCAATTTCATCCACTACTTCTTGTATTGATAATTCAAATTCAAAACATTTGAAAAGAAGACGAAAATGTCAAAAGAGAAAGAATTCAGCCTATTCCAATCCAGCACAAACTCAAATGGAGTTTAATTTTCCAATATGGACTTTTCATATGGAATAAATTGTAAATTATTAAAATAATTCAAAATTCAATATTTTGCAAAATACTCATCAACTTGATATCTATTATTTGAATGTATCTATTATTATTAACATATTGTATGTGTTTTGAAAGTTGTAAAATCTCACGATCAATACAATTTGAATTATTTGGAGAATATTCAAGAATAT